TATTAAAAGAAAAGGTAAAATGTAACAATATAAATTCATTATAAGAGTGTAAATTGTTTTATAAAAATATATTCCATCAGCTTCCTATAGAATTCTGGGATATGGAGTTAAGGGAAGAGTATTTAGACTTTTCAGCAAGAGTGCTTTGGTGCCTCACCAAACTACAAAACCCAGATGACAGCCATAGCCGTTCAAGTGTAATATAGCTCTACAGTTGCATGGTGTGAACAGGCTTAGGGCTACAAGTGGCCCATGGACTTCAGTTTGCCATCCCAAAGTCCAGACTTAGCCCTCCCAACCACCAGTAGATGCTGCCCTCAGCGTTGAAAAAGTTGCTCACTTCTGATATCTTTTCCATCAGCAAAACATTGCCAGTGGGTGGGGGAGTTTATTAGTATTAGCAATGATTATTTTTATCTCTTCCCTAATTAGAAAACAGCAGATCCCCAGGTATAAGAGAGGGGAAGAGTTTGTCTTCCATTAATCTTGCAAATGCAGGTTGTGAGTCATCCAGTGCTGTGTCTTTAATGAAAGGTCTCATTGCCACTGGAACTCATTTTAATGACTTGGCCATGGGGTGGCTGTACAGTAGGAGAAGTAGCAGCATTTTTTTGGAAAATCCTTTCATTTATAAAATGCCCTGGCCATAACTACTGACACTGTGTCTTGTGTACAATTAGAGGGGCTCTCGGAGATGATGCCAGTAGGAATTAAACTCAAGGTGTTATGCAAAATCTGTTTTCTCCACTCACAGGAGGATGAATAATTGAATCATAGAATTATTGATCTGGAAGAGATCACAAGGCTGATCTAGTTCAAGCCCCTTCAATGCAGGAACTCACAATAAAAGCATCCCCAACAGATGGCCATGCAGCTTCTGTTTAAAAACCTCCAAAGATGGAGAGTCCACCACACTCTGAGGGAGTGTATTCCACTGTCGAACAGCTCTTACTGTTAGAGAGTTCTTCCTAATGTTGAGGTGGAATCTCTTAGCCTGTAAGGATGTTCCTTGAGAATATTCCTCAAGGTTTTCCATTTGTGTTTTGCATGCACCATTAGAACAATGGAGCAGGGGAGTTTGAGTCTTTCTGGGACCAGGAAGGTTGTTGTTGTTGCGTGCCTTCAAGTCATTTCTGACTTATGGTTACCCTAAGGTGTTCGCCTATCACGGGGTTTTCTTGGCAAGTTTCTTCAGAGGAGATTTGCAATTGCGATCCTCTGAGTTTGAGAGACTGTGATTTGTCCAAGGTTACCCGAGGGTGGGCATGGCCAAGCTGGGATTCGAACCCTGCTCTCTCACTGAGGAGGGGTGAGCCCTCCCAAAATGATCAGGCAAAATTAGACCATCAAGACCCTATATAGATGATCCTCATCAGGAATTATCAATGATCAAGATATGGGGATGACACTTGCCACTGAATATCATATATTGACAAGTCACAGCTGGAGAAGACTATGGACCTCAACCCCTTCTATTGGGCTTCCCAAAGCATCCAGTTGGTCAATATGGGACACTGAAGGCTGGACACCATGGGCCATCCTTCTGAACCAACAAGACTTTCCTTCTGCTCTCATTAACACCAAGCCATATGGATGTGTCTCCTCTAGTTCATTTGTTCTCTACTCTCCCCATATTTACAATGACAAACAAGGGACAGAAGCTCGCAGGGAGAGCATATGCTTATAATACAAGATTTTTGCCCTGAGCATTTTGAGTTTAAAAGATTGGAAGTTGTGTGAGACCATTCAAAGCCCCCACCCCCTTTTTTTCCCCCTCTCTCTCTGTCATTTTGAACCATAAGAATAAGTGGTGTTAATATAGATTAGTCAATGGCAGCATAATTCCTTCTGATCAGTCTTTTACTTGGAAATGCTCCCTTCATGCTGTGTGACAGGAAAGGGGCAAAGAGTTTATTTCAAAATCCATCAATGCTGCTTGTTCACTTCTCCCATCACAGTGATGTTAACCCTTAACCTGCTACTAGCAAATGGATTTTCTGACAAAGTGTGGTTTATCACACCAATGTACCAATCTCTTCAGTGCCACCAATGCTGCTGCATCAAGGGCATTTCAAGGTTTGGAGGAAAAACATGAGAGAGATCAAATCAGGCTACTTTCTAGTTGGAAACTATTCTCTACTACTTACTAGTATGGGAGGGGAGAGAGAGTTTCAACATTTATAGGGGGTCATTGTTTTGGAAAGCCTTGCTGATATGTTCCAAAACTTTATGAATGTACGTTTTAGTGTCCATCATCTGGTAGGATGCAAATCTTTCTCCCAACATCAGGTAAACATCATTCCTTTCTCTCAGACAACTTAAAAAGGAAGAAGGGAGAGATGGGAGAGAGAGATTTAGCAGCACTTTTTAAATTAATTAGTTTTTCTTTTAGCATGAGCTTTCTTGGCTATAAACCCACTTCTTCAAATGCAGTACAGAGTGATATTAAAGCCTTGGGTTATAAAGCATATTTAGTAACAGCATTTGAACCATGTGATATTCCCCCTCTACCAATTAGTGCAGGCTCACCTCATAAGTTTTAAAAGTAACTAAAATCAGTTTCAGTGTCACCACAAAATGAGTGAAATTGCCACTTGCGAAATTCCAGTACCTGCATTCCAAAACTCTCTCCCCCATTCATATGGTCATCCACCCACCCTGGCCCTAGGCAACATCTTTCCTCCTGCCTTTGTCCCTCAAGGATCATAGTTACAACTGAACTTGTCATCTCATCACCATACCCACAGGTTTTGCATTTCTATGGCTGCTCATGCAGGCTGATTATAAAAGACCTTCCTGAGTTCACTCCATGCATCTGAGGAAGTCGACTAAGTCTATGAAAGCTTGTACTACAACGTCTTCCACTCACTCACAAAGGTTTTACAAGATCCCTTTGCATAGTGGATCTCAGAGTGTGAGACACTTGATTTCTTGCAATAAAGGTGGATCCTTGGTGGATCCAGCATGGTCTTCTAACATTTTCTGGTGTTACTGGAGGAAGAAATTCCTCTTCAGGCTACATACAGCCCATGAGCAGCACTTTCCTTACCTCTTTTTGCCCATTCCTTTGTGCCCTTCTTTTCTAGAGACGGCACAATGGACGTGACCAAGCCACTGCAAATTCCTTCTCCCAGCTCACTCCCAGTCTCAAGTGCCCTTGCCTGTAGTTTTGTGCCAAAATGCATTTCCCATAAAATTGAGAAGAAGCAGGTTAAGGCGGAAGGCAGTAGCGTGTGCTTCAAGTTGAGAAGCCATTATTCCCCAATGGCTCATGCATTATACAGTAGGCTAAGATTTCTGATTTCACGCCAATTGTGGAACAGGAGGGGGAGTGGAAGTAAACAAGAAAACATTTCCAGGAGTCAAGAGGAGAAGATGCTAATCGGAATGATTGCCTTAGGCCTGTTTCAAAAGCTGTGGGACATACACCACCCCTCCTTGCCTTCTCCCTCTCTTTTTTTCTCTCTCCCTTACACTTAGACCCAATCAGCCAGATTGCCATCGAGTGCAAATTGAAAAGTAACTACTCTTCCTTGCTCGGGTGCAGCAGTAACTGCAGAAAATAAGCAGCTGAGCTAGCCGGGGGGCTTTGTAAAGCATCTGTTGCCATAGGAATGAGCCCCCCTTTCCTTCCCAAAAGGTAAAACAGGACCCTGATATCAAGGATGTGGCTTTGTGCTCAGCGATCCCTGGTAGAACCATTTTTTTGAGTTGCTGGAGAGAAGTTGAGTTGAGTTGCTGGAGATAAGGTGGAATATGGAGCTGAGGAGAAATACTTCCAGCCTCAAGCAATTATATGTGCTTAATTTATTGCATGTCTGTCCCACCATTCCTCAAGGACCTCAAGGTTATATATATACTCATCCCCACCCCAGTGTTGCAACTCATGCTCTTGCCCCCAGGCTAGGAGCCACCAGGCCAATGGTCCCTCAGGGCTACTATGGAAGAAAAAGGCTCTGGTCAACTTGCTACCAATGGCTTGTGGACTGAGGCATCAGTTGGAAAGGACAGGATTGCTCAGGTATTTTCTGGGAAATACCTGGAAAAGAAAAAGGAAAATTAGTTTAGAATTTTTAAACTGTTGTGAGCCACCCCGATTGCTTGACAGAGGGGCGGGATATAAATAAAACTTATTATTATTATTATTATTATTATTATTATTATTATTATTATTATTATTATTATTATTATTATTATAGAATTTGTACCCAGATGAATAAAATTCTGCAATCTGAATATATAGACCAGAATCCTGCTGGTGGTTTGTTTGGGTTTTTTTTAATTTTATTAATGTTAAAAATACTTATTCTTTACATATATACAATAAAAGAAATATCCAACATTCACTTCCACTGTTTCTTCAGCAATATGCCCTTAATTACTCTGTAATTTCACTTACTTATTTTATAACCAATAAACTCAAGGCTAAATAAAGAAGCTACCAAAGAAAAAAACAAAACAAAATTATAACAAAGCCTTAGAGCATGTTCTAATTTTACGTAATTTTAACTGTACTTATTATTTTGTTCATTTTCTAACTTGATCTC